GAGCCGTCCCCGGTGAGCGGCAAGAAGAGTAAAATCGGCGCTCCATCGGTGAGCGCTCCTGTTGCGGCAACGCCCATGGCCGCGTGTCCCAGCCCGCCGCCTTCACCCCTTCTTCTCGAATGTCCCGAACCCAATTGCTCGAAAAAGTACAAGCATATCAACGGTCTGAAGTACCATCAGACTCACGCGCACGGCTCGGCCGCCGACGATGACGACACGAAAGATCTAACATCAATGTCGGAGAACGACGAGTCGAATATTGAGGCGCCCAGCCCAGTGACGCCGGCCAAGTCGCCGGACAAGTGCCAGGACAGTCCATCGAACACCCCAGTGAAGAAAGACAGCGGCTTGACGGAGTCTCTGGCTAGTGGAAGCAGCGCCGAAGTACCGAGCACTCCACCTTCCCCGGCAACGCCGCCTATTGCTCACGAGCTGCCGCCTGCGGCGATTGTCTGCTCTCCTAGCGGGCCGTTGGCAGCGGACATTGCGCCCGCTGCCAAGCCGCAGGCCGTGGTTAAACCAGCTATCTTGAGATTCACTGCGCCCACCCCTGCAGAGGAATACTCGAGCGTCCCGACGGCTGCTATAGGCATTTTTGCGCACGCTGTCAAGCCGCAAATCCCAGGTGGGTGTCTTTCGTTTTCAACTTGTAATCAATCAACCAAAACTCGTGTTCTTGCAGCAGCACCCCAGCTGGCAACATCCACTCAACTACTAGCAGCTCGGACGGGCGCCGCGGCGCCTCTGCCTGCCGAGCCCAGTGGATTGCCTTCGGATAGTTTGGCGCCTCAATCGTTCGCTGCCCAACTGCAAACGCATGTCGGACTCGGGGCGACCACCCAGTTCAGCCAGCCGCCCAACATAATTATCCCGAATCAGCCCCCCAGCGCGCAACTGTCACCCACGTCGCCCACCCAGACTGTTAAACTGACGCCATTCAAAGTGAAACCGACGTCAGCGCTGATGCCGGACGAGAAAAAGCAGGCGCCGCCTCCCCTCCAGAACCCAAACGGGGCCAAGTCGAGTTTCAAGAAAAAGAATCGCAAGTCGCCGGCGGACAGTCCGCACCTAAGCCCTGCCGATCCGCCGGTGTTCGGGATGGAGCAGAGTGGGCGGGACGAGGTTCAAAGTCCAGCCTACTCGGACATTTCCGATGACGGAGCTCCAGTCGGGCTAGAGAGTGAGGTGGACAAGGGCAAGAACCCGGACAAGAAGACTGAAAGTGGCCAGGCGCTGCCGCACATGAGCCAATACGGGATCTATCCATACTTCACGCAACCGCACCAGTATGTCGTGCCCAATCAGCAGCAGCCGCAGCTCGAGACTGCCAGCAAGCCGAAGGAGCCGGAAAAGGGCCCGGAAAGGGAGAAGGCCAGTAGTGAAAAGGACAACAAGAAGGAGACAGCCGACTATCCGCAAAAGATGCTGCAGCAGCACTATTACCCGTATCAGTACATGCCCGGGTACCCATACAATATGGATCCGAACTATGGCAGCGTGCCCATGCAGCCGGATGACAAGCACAAAGAAGACGGCAGGATGAAGGAGAGCCCCAGTCCCATTGAGCCGGCAGCCAAGCCGCCGCCGCCCGCGGCCGCGATTCAAGTTTCGATGGTCAGCAAGCCTAAGCAAAGCGAGCACTCGGCGAAGGACAAGCACCAGAATGACAACCATCAGATTATCAAGGAGAGCATCGAAATGAAGAACCAGATGAGTCCGTACCTGTACTCGCGGCAGGCGGCGCAGCAGCCCCCGCAGCCGATCGCTCAACATCACGGGCATCGGGAGCGCGAACGGGAAGAGGAGGCCAGACGGTACTACGTGTACGAGCAGCAAAGACGGAAAGAGCACCAACAACAGCAACATCAAGCCGAACACAAGCAGGGCTCGAACCCGAAGATATCGCAAAGCCCCAACGTGAAAACGAAAGATATCAAAATGGAGGAGAAGAAGGAGAAGGAAGTGAAGCAGGAGGGCGTGAAGCCTACAATGGAGACCCAAGGCCCGCCGCCTCCGCCCACTTCGCAATACGCCTACATCCACCCCAGCTACATGCAGGGCCCGCACTACGGAACATTGCCGTTCGATCCCAGCCACCCGATGTATCGGGGCATTATGGTGCCGGGGCCCTACAGCAGTAACCCCTACCTGCACCCGCAGATGCCGCGCTACCACGCCCCGGAAGATCTGTCACGCGCCCAGCCGCCCTCTAAAGCGCTCGATATGCTGCAGCACCACGCCCAGTACTACTCCTCGCATAAGATTCACGAGCTGCAGGAGCGCGCCATCAAGTCGCCCACCCCCAAAACGTCCACAGCCAGTTCGAGTCCCTCAACCAATGTGCCAGCCTCGGGGCAGTCGCCTGCGCAGATGAGCGCCCCTCCCACCACGCAGGCGGCGAGTGCCACCACTGCGAGCGGGAAACAAACGCCCGGCGAAAACAACAAAGAGTCTCGGTCGCCGCCACCTCAGCGACATGTACATACACATCATCACACCCACGTTGGACTGGGCTATCCGATTTATGGTGCTGGGCCTTATGGGGGTAAGTGTTAGTTAGTAAGCGACTCTCCCATTATTGGTATTAGAACATTATATAGAACAACTCGTTCACACGGTGACAGCGACCAGTGTCACAGTGTCGTAGCTCAAACAATTTTGATATGTGTCACTAACGTCACCACTCTGTGACTTTCAACTGTCACTCAGACAGTGATATTCACAGAACACCTCTGAACAAGAAGTGACAACTCCATGCAAACGCCCGTGATCGCTTATGCGCGCTCTCTGCCAGGTGTTGACGTCCGTAAATTAAAAGGAAGCGGGAATTTCGATTTATGGATCAACAACTTAACAACTACATTAAAAAGTCACTGCATTTGTAACAGCTACCTTTAAAATGATGTAACGCTGGCAAACACAAACTTAATACTGACCTAAAAACAAAATGGGTACAACATGTAGGTATATGTGTTGACGTTATTAGAAAAAAACATAGTCATAAATGATAAAAATATTTATTATAGCAGAAAAAAGAAAAACAGTCAAATGATCAACATATTTATAATAACAGAAATAGGAAAGAACAAAGGACACCCTATAAACGATCAACATATATAACAGAAATAGGATAAACAGACGTATAAATGACAAACAAGTAAAAGTAAAAACTTCAAAAGCATGTAAAAGGAACAAATAAACAAAATTATTGATGTCAAAATCTGCCT